GGAATCACGATGCAAAGGGATGGTGAGGCGCTGTCTCCTCGGCTCCTCACACCCTTTGTGCATTCCCTGGACTCTACTGGGCAAGTAGGCACACACATGCACGACACACACCCACAGTGCCAACACGCATGTGAACACACATGTGTGAGTGTATAATGCATGTATGGCATGTGTGAACATACACCCGGTGCCAACATGCATGTGAACACATGTGTACATGTGAGTGTACAGATGCATGTATGGCGTGTGTGAGCATACACCTGGTGCCAACATGCATGTTATCACACGTTTGTGAACACATGTGTGCATGTGTGTGCGCAAATGCATGCACAGCATGCGTGGACATACACAGAGTGCCAACATGCGTGTGAACACATGTGTGTAAGTGTATGTGCATGTGTGTGCAAATGCATGCACAGTATGCATGGACATACACATAGTGCCAACATGCATGTGAACACATGTGTGCATGTATGCATATGTTTGTGCGTGCATGACACACATAAGTGCTCCAACAGTGCTGACATGCATGTGAACACATGTGTATGTGTGAGTGCAGAGATGCATGTGTGGCATGTGTGAACATATACCTGGTGCCAACATGCATGTGAACACATTGCATATGTGTGAATACATGTGTGCACATGTGGGTGTATGTATGTATGACACACATATGAACACATCTACGGTAACCGACGTGTATGTGGACACACATGTGCATGTGACTGTCCACATGCGTGTATGGCACACACATGAACACACTCATAGTGCCAGCATGCATATGAACACAAGTGTGTGCATGTGAGTGCACACATGAATGTATGTACAGGCACAATCACATGCATGACACAATACACATGAACACACACCCACAATGCAACATGTGTGTGTGAGCGAACAGGCATGTATGCACAGGTACACTTACTCATGCACATACACACGTGTGCACACCCAGGCATGAAGTGTGTGTGTGCACCTACATTAGACATGAGAAGCCAGCAAGTCTTAGGCCAGCAGACTTCAGTAACAGGGGAGCAGGGCTGCACACCTGTCCCAGGTACCGGCCACAGGGAGGATCTGCCCGGCTCCTGCTCTGGGACAAGTCAGCTCCCCCGGCCTCCGCCCTGTGCACTGAAGAGCAAAGTCTCAGACGGCGGCTGAGCTCACACTTGGGTTTCAGACTGAGCAGGGCAGACGGGGACGAGCACTGGCCCAGGCGCACATGTGTGCAGTCATGGCACGCATGCTCCCGGGGCCGGCCACTCAGAGCTGTTCCGTGTAATTTCACTCTGTCTTCTGTGGCCAGGAGGGCCCGTCCTCTGGCCCAGGACCACACGTGCAGCAGTCACGGCACGCATGCTCCCAGGGCCTGCCACTCAGGGCTGTTCGCGCTCAGGGCCACTGTGCGATTCCACTCGTCATCTGTGGCCAGGAGGGCCCTTCCTCTGGCCCAGGACTTGCACCTGGAAGTCGGAGATCCCTGGAGCGGCCCTGCCTTCCGCGTGTGAGGGCTGAGGAAGATGCGAGAGCACCTTGCGGAGTCCATGCTGGCATCACCGCTCTGCAAATAAGGCAGTGGCACAGAGGCTGGGATGCGCACGCAGGCCCAGGACAGCTGCCCAGGCTGCGCACCCCCAAGTGGGCAGAGGCTGGGTCAGCGCTGCGGCCTCTGCAAGTGCACTGTCTCCTGCATTTCACAACTGAACAGGAAGGGGAGCTGCGGTGGCAGGTGAGGGGCACAAGCTCCCGGCTGCTCCCAGAGCCGGAGACTGCACCTCGTCCCCAGCTGCAGGGACGCACGGTCCCAGAGGCACAGGCTGCAGGCAGTCCCTGCCACGCCTGATTCATCCTCAGGACCGGCTGGCCTCACCGCAGCCTGCTTGGACCTCGTGAAGCCGAGTGAGGGACCTGGAGTGTGGCCATTTATCACCAAAGCCCTGGGGAGCCCAACACAGCACACGCACCACCTGGCACACATACCACCCAGCACACGCACCACCCAGCACACGCACCACCCGGCACACGCACCACCCGGCACACGCACCACCAAGCACACGTACCACATAGCACACGCACCACATAGCACACGTACCACCCAGCACACGCACCACCAAGCACACGCACCACACAGCACACGCACCACCCAGCACACGCACCACCAAGCACACGCACCACACAGCACACGTACCACATAGCACACGCACCACATAGCACACGTACCACCCAGCACACGCACCACCCAGCACATGCACCACACAGCACACACACCACGCAGCACACGCACCACACAGCACAGGCACCACCCAGCACACGCACCACCCAGCACACACACCACCCAGCACACACACCACCCAGCACATGCACCACACAGCACATGTACCACACAGCACACACACCACCCAGCACACGCACCACACAGCACAGGCACCATCCAGTACACACACCACAAAGCACACACACCACATAGCACACGTACCACACAGCACATGCACCACTCAGCACACGTACCACCCAGCACACGCACCACCCAGCACACGCACCACCCAGCACACGCACCACCCAGCACACGCGCCACACAGCACATGCACCACCCGGCACACGCACCACATAGCACACACAGCACCCGGCACATGCACCACCCAGCACACGTGCCACCCAGCACACACACCACACAGCACACGCACCACTGAGCACATGTACCACCCAGCACACACCCCACACAGCACACGCAGCACCCAGAGCACAAAGGCAGTGGACGGGGCCCCTGGAGCTGCACTGAGAAGCCCTGGCCCTGGGGCCTGGGGAACCCCACAGGTCCTGTCCTGGGAACGCCTGCAAGGGCGGACTGGGTGCTGAAGACGAACGCTCCCGTCTCCTGCCAGGTGCCCTCACCGTGCGCCCACCAGGGGCACCGCGGCTGGAGAAGCCCCACGGGCCGTGTGGTGGCCTCGCTCCGCCCACTCTGCTGTGGACACGGCTCTCCCACCTGGGGCTTCCTCACCCACGGCTGCTGTGAGGTCTATCGTTGGAGTCTCTGGCTGCACAGTGAACAAGGCTCTGTCCACAAGGGCTTCTGTCAGCATCACCTCCTTCTCTAGGCTTCCTGAGTGATCAGCTTTAACGTCAGGGCAACCTCGGGGAAGCAAGGCCACCAGGAGCACCCACAGGAAAGGGATCTGCGCACACCGCCCCAAATCCAGGCCCCGCCCCTGGTCCACGATCCCAAGCCACTCTCAAGTCCAGCACCTGGCCCACCATGCCCAGGCCACCCCCAAATCCAGGCCCTGCCCCTGGTCCGCCTCGCCCAGGCCACCCCCAAATCCAGGCCCCAGTCCACCATGTGCAGGCCACTCCCAAGTCCAGCCCCTCGTCTGCCACTCCCAGGCCACCCCCAAGTCCAGCCCCTGATCCACGACCTCAGCCCATTCCCAACTCTAGCCTGTGGTCCGCCACACCCAGGCCACCCCCAAATCCAGGCCCCAGTCCACTATGTGCAGGCCACTCCCAAGTCCAGCCCCTCGTCTGCCACGCCCAGGCCACCCCCAAGTCCAGCCCCTGATCCACGACCTCAGCCCATTCCCAACTCTAGCCTGTGGTCCGCCACGCCCAGGCCACCCCCAAATCCAGGCCCTGCCCCTGGTCCGCCACGCCCAGGCCACCCCCAAATCCAGGCCCCAGTCCACTATGTGCAGGCCACTCCCAAGTCCAGCCCCTCGTCTGCCACGCCCAGGCCACCCCCAAGTCCAGCCCCTGATCCACGACCTCAGCCCATTCCCAACTCTAGCCTGTGGTCCACCACGCCCAGGCCACCCCCAAGTCTAGCCCCTGGTCCACCATGCCCAGGCCTCTGGGACAATCATATCGAATGTCTACAAAGAAGTAAGACAGAAACTCAAGTGCCTTTGCGCGAGTGTGGGCTCTCATAACTCCTACACGGAACCCACCCCCGTGGGGATGGAGCTGGGAGGGGCTGCAGGGCAAATGCCCTTCCAGAGACCCCAGAAAGGTGCCTGCCCCTCCCACCCTGGGAGACAGGCGAGAGGGCAGCTAGGAACCAGGAGGCATCCCTCACAGTCATCATGCGTGTCAGTGCCGCGGTCTTAGAAGCCCACCCCTACTGTGTGGACCACCCGGCCCAGCCTGGAGCAGCCTGGACAGAGTGAGCCACCCCTCGACCTCCAGACATGGCCCCCGCTTGCTAGCACCTGCTACCCACGCCCCTTCAATGCCCCCAAGGCAAACGGTCCACGCTTCGGGCCTCTCCCCACTCAGCATGTGGGGCCATCCCATCTTGTCCCAAGCCACACCACATCCCCCTCCTGGAACTACAGCATTTGGGGCCACGTGTCCTTTGCCTGGTGATGACGACACTGTCAGAACCACTCAGGGACCCACAGGAGGGGGCGTGATGCTGGGAGCACTGGACACCTGCTAACAGAGGCCGCTGCCAGCGCATAAGACCCCAGCATGAGCAGAAAGCTCGCTGGAGGCCTGCCGTCCTCTCGCCACGGGGGCGTCTGAGCACACGCCCCCCGCCCCTCCCAAGCCGGGGGCTCTGCCAGCACTACCCGCCTCCTGCTTGATCTACGTCCCATGGGGGCTACGATTGGCCACTGGAGCGTTTCAGAGAGTGAGAGGCATGTGGGTGAGGCGTGGTGGGAACTGGGTGGTAGATGGTTAGATGTGGCGCCACGCTGGGCTTGTCCAGCGGGCATCTGGGCTACACACATGAGTCTGTTGGCATGAAGAGTCAGCACCCGTGCAGCCAGAGACACAATGCGGATGGGAGGGCCCAGGCAGACGGCGGAGAGGAAAGGAGTAGGAGGGTACCCCGAAGAAACTGCACACGTACGTTAGGAGGCGGGAGTGGCTAGAGAGAGCCGTCCAGTGCATGCCCGGGCAAGCGTGTGCATCCGTGTGCACCGAGTGACAGGGTTAATGGACAACAACGAAGACAGCTAGCAAGGCATGGAGGACTGCAGCCGGCGAGGCCGCCTTACCCTGTAGTAATCCGTGCTGTACACGTCCCGGGACATGCCGAAGTCGCCGATCTTCACCAGCAGGTTGGCGCCGACCAGGCAGTTCCTGGTGGCCAGGTCCCGGTGCACGAAGTGCTGGGAGGCCAGGTACACCATGCCCGAGGCGATCTGACTGGCGATGTGCAGCATCTGCGAGAGCCCCAGCTCACCCTTGGCCTGGCGCGGCTGCCCGTCCACCAGGATCATCGCGTCCGGCCCATGGGCCCTGCCGGGGCGGGGAGGGAGAGGCGGCAAGCAGGTTCACAGCTCCCGGGGAGGGCTGTGGTCCCCGCCCTCTCCCGCGGGGCACACGGCCTGGGTGCACCCCCCTGAAGCTACACAGAGTGTGGGAAAATCACAGCCGGAGCCCCGACTGGGAGGACGGCCGGCACACGGAGCAGACAGGGACCAAGCCCACTCCGGCCCGGGGGTGATGCCCCCAGGACTCCCCAGGGAGACTCAGGCCGACAGCCGGCTCCCACGGTGCCTGCCAAGTGCCAGGCACCGTTCGAGGCTCTGGACACCTTGATCCACTGCACAACGGAAAGGAAAAAAGTGATGGCCAGCTCACCCCGGAGGCTGCAGAACGGCCTTGTGGGTAATCAGGAGGAGAACACGAAGGAGCCTTCCCAAGGGGCCTGGGGGCGGCTCCAGCATTCTGGGTGGCCTGTGAGCTGGCTTGTTCGCAGTCCCCACCTGTCAGTGGGGGAGGCTGCAGCCCAGGTCCCCCCACTCCACTGCTCTGGGCTGGGCAGGGCTCCCCATGGCGCAGGAGCCGAGGCCTGGGGACCCTGCAGCCCCTCTACCCAAATCAAGGCCCATATCCGTTTTCCTGGCACCTGACCTGTCCCATCAGCCACTTCACGATCACTCTGTCCTCCAGAGAGCCTGTTGAGCCAGGACACAGCCAGGGCCCCATCTGTGAGGCTGTGCGGAGCAGCCCAGGCTATCCCAAGGCCTCCCCAGCTTCCACTGAAAGGCACCATTAAATTTCCACACTCATCTCCGGTGGACCGAGAGCTGGCCCAGCGGCCTGCCTGCCTGCTGGGTTGCTGCAGCCCACCCCACACCACCACCTGGGCAGCACAGTCCCTCAGCACCAGCAGGCCAGCCCCAGGAAGGCTGGTGCGGCCGTTGCTAAGAGCCCTGCCCTGGGCACCCTGGAAAAGCTGACCTAGGAAGACAGAGTGATGGTGTCCACAGCACAGTGTTGCCAAACTGCCCGGCAGGACACTCAGCCAGGCATACGCCCCTGTGCTACCCCCACCCCCGGAGGGGCCTGAGCAAGACCCAGGTGTCTCAGGAGGGCGAGCCCCTCTCCAGCCCGGGTCCCACCGGGGCTGCAGGCACTGCCCCATCTGTGTGCGGGTGAGGGGGTATCAGGGGCCTCAGTGCTGAGAGACGGCGTCCCCCCATGGCTCTCAGGACATCCTGACTGGCGTGTCCTGCACCTGGGCCCAGGCAGCCTCTCCGGGAAGCCCAGTGGTCACGTTCCTCGGGCAGAACATGGAGGCCTCCCAACCAGCTCGTTCCAATCAGAGCAAACCCAAGCCTGGCCCACGCTGAGGGCTGAGTCCCCCGGAAAGCAAGTGATACCCCCCAGGACCACTCTCCTCCCCCAGGGCCGCGTACTGGGAAGACCCCTCCCCACTTGCTGCCTGGAACCACATCCTCCTGCCGCACCCCCACGGTGAGGGTGAGGGTGCCCACCCCCCTTGGAGGGGGTGCTCATGGGTTTGCAGCGGAGGGCTCCTGCCTCCTATAACTGAGCTTTGAACTCCAGGACCTCATGCTCAGCCCCCAACTCAAATGTGTCAAAAGGCGCTGGGGCAGAGACCCTGCCCCAAGTGCCATGCCCAGCATTCCCTCTGCTCCCTGGGACTCTGGTGGCCACAGACCCACACACTGACCACCCTCCACACTGGCGCTGTCCAGAAGGGGCAGCCGTGGGACAAGAGTGGCCCTGGGAAAGGTGGACACAGGCTGCAGCTCTTCACGCCCCTTCCTGGGCACCGTTTCTCTTCCTTTCTTTTTTTTTTTTCTTTCTTTTCTTTTTTTTCTTTTGACAGGCAGAGTGGACAGTGAGAGAGAGAGAGACAGAGAGAAAAGTCTTCCTTTGCCGTTGGTTCACCCTCCAATGGCCGCCGCGGCCGGCACACCGAGCTGATCCAAAGCCAGGAGCCGGGTGCTTCTCCTGGTCTCCCATGGGGTGCAGGGCCCAAGCACTTGGGCCATCCTCCACTGCACTCCCTGGCCACAGCAGAGAGCTGGCCTGGAAGAGGGGCAACTGGGACAGAATCCGGCGCCCCGACCGGGACTAGAACATGGTGTGCCCGCGCCACAAGGCGGAGGATTAGCCTAGTGAGCCGTGGCGCCAGCCGTCTCTTCCTTTCTCCACAGCCCCAGACACATCTGCAGAGAAGGCTCCCGGGCGGGAGGGGCTGACCTCCCTGTGCAGCCGAGGGCCCGCAGGCACCCGGGGGCTGCTGGAGGCTTGGACTCGGGCTGTAAGTTACAGGCCGGGGCTCCTCCTGGGACCCCTCCCAGGCCCCACTCCCCTGCAGTCAGAAGCAGGGGCTCCTGAGCAGAGCCTCCTGCCCCCCAGGTCAGGGCATGGTGTGGACACCATGACACCATGCTAGGTGCCAGCACACTTCTTCCTCAGACTCAGTGTGGGGAGAGAGCCAGGGGACCGGGGGGGGGGATGGGGGGGCAGGGGCTGTGGCCCGGGGCCAGGGGCCACGCTCACCTGAGCACCCTGCATCCTCAGACTCAGTGTCGGGGGAGAGTGGGGGTCCGGGGGTGGGGGAGAGCGCGGGGGCCGGGGGCGGGGGCCAGGGGCAGGGGCCAGGGGAGAGCGCGGGGGCCAGGGGCAGGGGCCAGGGGCCACGCTCACCTGAGCACCCTGCATCCTCAGACTCAGAGTCGGGGGAGAGCGCGGGGGCCAGGGGCAGGGGAGAGCGCGGGGGCCGGGGGCGGGGGCCAGGGGCAGGGGCCAGGGGAGAGCGCGGGGGCCAGGGGCAGGGGCCAGGGGCCACGCTCACCTGAGCACCCTGCATCCTCAGACTCAGAGTTGGGGGAGAGCGCGGGGGCCAGGGGCAGGGGAGAGTGCGGGGGCCGGGGGCAGGGGCCGGGGGCAGGGGCTGGGGGCCGGGGGCAGGGGCCAGGGGCCAGGGGCCAGGGGCAGGGGCAGGGGCCGGGGGAGAGCGCGGGGGCCGGGGGCAGGGGAGAGTGCGGGGGCCGGGGGCAGGGGCTGGGGGCCGGGGCAGGGGCCAGGGGCCAGGGGCCAGGGGCAGGGGCAGGGGCCGGGGGAGAGCGCGGGGGCCGGGGGCAGGGGAGAGTGCGGGGGCCGGGGGCGGGGGCCAGGGGCAGGGGCCAGGGGCAGGGGCAGGGCCAGGGGAAAGCGCGGGGGCAGGGAGCAGGGGCTGGAGGCCGGGGGCAGGGGCCAGGGGCCAGGGGTGGGGGAGAGCGCGGGGGCCAGGAGCAGGGGAGAGCGCAGGGGCCGGGGGCAGGGGCCGGGGCAGGGGCCGGGGGCAGGGGCAGGGGAGAGCGCGGGGGCCGGGGGCAGGGGCAGGGGCCGGGGGAGAGCGGGGGCCGGGGCCAGGGGACAGGGGCAGGGGAGAGCGCGGGGGCCGGGGGCAGGGGCAGGGGCCGGGGGAGAGCGGGGGCCGGGGCCAGGGGACAGGGGCCAGGGGCAGGGGCAGGGGAGAGCGCGGGGGCCGGGGGCAGGGCCGGGGGCCGCGCTAACCTGAGGAACTTGTTCAGGTCGCCATGCTTCATGTACTCGAAGACCATGATGAGGGGGTCGCCGTCTCCGCAGACCCCGTAGAACTTGACGATGTGCTCGTGCTGCAGGTTGGTGAGCAGTTCCGCCTCCCGCTGGAAGTCCTTCCGCGCCGCCAGGGTGGGGTCCTTCAGGGCCTGGAACCACAGGGGCCACTGCCGGGTCACACCAGCCCCGGCCCCTTCCCCGGCATGCTGACCCCTGCTGGCCAGTGACCCGGCCGCGTCCCCTAGTGGACTGGAAGGCCCCGAACCCCGATTGAAAATCAGCACGGGGCCGACCGTGCAGGAACAGCTCTCGTGTGAAGGAGGTGCCCCGCAGAGGGCTGACCCTCAAGCTTCTAGAAGATTCCTGCATCCCTCTAATAGGCATGTGGAGCTCAGGGAGGTGTAGGGGGACAAAGCACCCAACGCCCTGGGCCAGGTGGGGAACCAGCACGTCCCAGGGCATCGCTGGCTGCCAAGATGCCATGACCCAGTCCTGCGGGGTGGGAGGGGTGGCCTGAGGCCGCTGCCCACAGGCCTGGGGAGGGTGTGAGTCAGCAGTGTTCCAGTGGAAGGCCTGGCGTGTGGCTGCTGGCCGTGGTCAGGGCGCAGCCCTGGGGATGAGCAATGCTGGCCAGGGTGGGCAGTCCCCATCTTTCAGGTGAGACAGCGGAGGTCCAGCCCAGGCCCGTGACTCCTGAGCGCCAGAGCTGGGGTGTAGAGTCCAGCACACACGTATGAGCCGACAGACGGACAAGTCACCCAGCAGGTTCCCGGGGTGGTGGCAAAGGAGTAGTGAGGGGCGGCAGGGCAGACGCAGGGCAGAAGTCAAGTCAGGGACCCCTCTACAACCAACGCTCAGCAGAACAAATTCCGCTGCGGCACGCTGCACAGGGGCTCGCCAGGAAATAAACCCGCGGAGCGAGAACAGCCACCACATCCAGCCACAGCTGGAGCAGCACCGACTGGAGCAAGAACAGGCCGCCATGTGCAGCTACAGCCGGCTCAGGGGTGCTCGGCATACCAGATACGACCGTAGCCGTAACAGCCTCATTCGCCATCAACCAGAGACCAGGTGGCTGATCAGCCACGTGTCTGACAACACAGAGCTGTTACGCCCAGACATGAGGGGGATGCGTGAGCCCTGGGGACCGAGCCCCCGGGTGCCCCACCCAGGGCTGGGGCTCAGAGCTGCCTGGCGTGGGTGCTGGGTGGCTGGGAGAGATGGATTTATTTCCACGCAGAGGAAGCAGAAGGAAAAAGAAGGCCAGCATGGGAGAGGACACGAAGATTTACGGGCGCTGGATTTACGAGAGGGATGAGCAGATGAGCCAAATGGCCTCTGTCCGTGCCCTTAAATCACTGTCACCCACGGCCAGGCATTCCCGCCCGCAGCCCTCCCTGGTGCCCACCCCGGACCTGGTGATGAGCACCCCCTCGGCGCCGTCTGCCCCTGCTCCGGTCTCTACAAGGCCTTCCCCGTTGTGACAGGGCACAGGCGGCCACTGGGTCCTGAGCCACGAGTAGCCCCGCCCTCCGGGATTGGCCGGTTGGGCAGAGACCACAGGAGAACCAGGAGCTAAACTGCACCAAAGGCGCTCTGGCTGCCCTCGGTGGAGCCCTGGCCAGCACCTCCTCCACAGCAGGGAACGGCAAAGCCGGCACGCAATCACAGCATGACACAGCTGGGCTGTCACTGCCACCCTCTGCCAGCACCAAGGGCTCTGTGGCCAGGCCCCCAGCAGTGCCCACTGAAGAAAGGGGCGGGCTGGGCGTGGTGCTGCGACATAGCAGGTTCAGCCTCTGCCTGTAGGCCGGCATCCCATGTAGCCACCGGTTCGAGTCCCAACTGCTCCACTTCCCACCCAGCTCCCTGCTAATGGCCTGGAAAGCAGTGGAGGACGGCCCACATGCCTGGGGCCCTGCACTGATGTGGGAGAAGCAGAAGAAGCTCCTGGCTTTGCAACAGCCCAGCTCCGGTTGTTGAGGACATCTGGGGAGTGAACCAGCAGATGGAAGATCTCTGTCTCTGTCTCTCCCTCTGCAATTCTGCCTTTCAAACAGATCTTTAAAAGGGGGCAGGGCGGGGGGCTGGGCATCGAGCCCCACCTCTCCCGGGCCTCCAGTCTGAAGACCTCTCCCCTCTGGCCGTCCCCTCGGTGGGCAGCAGACCTCATGTGCAGCCCAGCCCTGGGGAAAGGATCCAGCCCAGGTGTGAGGCCCCGGGAGGGTGTCTCAGCCCCAGCTGTTGGTCACTGCCGCCCCCTTCTCCGTCCTGAGGCCCGGCTGTCTTCCAGCTTCTCGTCTTCTGCTGGGGGAGGCGCCACAAGGGATGGCAGCTTCAGATTCAGCCCACGGCCCAACGCCCGCCAAATCACAGGGACCTGCACCCAGGTGCGCTGTCCCCGCCTGTGGGGGTGGCACCTTTTTACCCACAGTTAGGAGCCCCCTCACCTGCCTTCCTGGCTCACGGCTGGACCATGGCTTCACTTCTTGTCTCCACATCACTCCCTGCCCCTCCCCCGCCCTGCCCAACGCCTCGCCCTTCAGTCCTGCTGGCCCTGGCCAGCCAGGATTCACTGCCTTGGGGCCTCTGATGAGAGACTGGCCAGGGCAGGGTCCACGAACCTGGGCGAGGAGAGCTGGAGCTGACGCTGCCCCTGCAGGCCACCGACGGGCACACGGGGACCTGGACACCCAGGCAGAGGCTCCCAAGAGTGGCCATGTCTGTCCCAGCAACCCCTGAAGCATCGTGGCCACCAGTGGAGCTCAAGTGTGCGGGGTCACGGGCCACAGGACGAGCGTCCTGCCAAAGCTGAGGCTCCAACCACTGTGACGCGTGGGAGGGAGAAACCAGGCACAAAAACCGGGGAATGGGAAAACCGGAGATTCCGCCTCAGACTGTTTCACAGACCGCTTTAGTTCCTGCTGCAATTTAAGGGACCTGAAACTGGAGAACACAGACGCCCCAAACAAAAATGGAGCCCCCTGCAAGCTGAAAGCAGCCCAGAGGCTGAGGTCCACTCGTGGAAGAAATGAAATGCTGAATGCAAACAGCTGAAACGATCCACAGCCAGCACTCGGGAGTGGCTGGCCCCCAGGGCACGCGCAGGCCTGGGCCTGAGCCCTGACAGCAGGGACAAAGGCCACACCATCGCCCAGGACATCTCAGCGTGGCCAATGGCCCGGGCTCACGGCCGTCTGTCACTGGGATTTTCCAACTGCACTGCAGGTTTGCCAGACACCGACCTGGACTCCCAGGCCCGGGTGTCTCCCGGGCTAGTGCTGTGTGGGGTCCTCCGCCAAGGCCGGGCTGCTGCTCGTGGTCAGCTCTGCCTCATGCGTCCCCCACTCGGGTGCTTTCAGATTCCGAGGGGCTGGCTGGGCCGTGGCCGTGTCACCTGTGGTGTGTCTGCGCTCCGACGTCCCATAGGCCCTCACTGCTCACCTGTGGGGGCTCGTGTCTCCAGTGCCCACCAGTGGGGTCCAGCAGCCCGAAGGCCTTAAACATGGAGTCAGTGCTCTCTGCTCCTGCTTCCAGGGGCCTTCAAAGCACGGTTTGGGAAGTCCTGAGTCACACATGGGGCTGCCCCAGAGGAGGAGCAGGGGGCGAGCTTCAGATGCCCTGGAGACGCGGGCCCCACCCCCTCCAGGCTCCCAGCACAAAAGGCCCCGTCAATCGTGCATGGACACGGAAGCTTCCAGGGCTGGGCCTCCCTTCACTGCCTGCTCAGAGCGCACAGGGCCGCCCTTCCTCTGGTCTTGCAGGGACCTGTGGCACGTGCTGGGTTCCTGATGCCCCTGCAAGTGCAGGGAGCACAGGGCTGAGGGTTGGGGCAAAATCCCACACCCCAGGCCCGGGGCCCCTCTGCAGAGACCCGGCAAGTGTGTCCACAGGAGGCCCGGTCACAGCGCAGGAGCCTTCTGGGGTGTACCGCCCTCATTCCTTGTTTATTTTGGGGGAGAAGGGGCCGGCAAGTTACACCCGGGCTGTGAGAAGCTGTGCTGGGGCCCCCTCTGTGAACACCGCCTTCCCCCACACAGCCTGGCCTCGCTCTACTCTGTGGCTGCCACCAGCTGCGCCCCAGCACGTGGTCGGTAGCGGCAGTGGCTATGCAGATGGGCTCCCCTTGAGGGGTGCTGTGGTCCCAGCAGCCCCCGTCCAGCCTGGCCAACGACATTGTAAGGAGACGTCGCAGCTCACATTCTGCAGATAGGGATGGTGAGGCCAGAGAAGCCGAGCGTCACGCACGAGGCCAGTCAGAGTGGAGCTGGGCCTGGCACCCATCTCTGTGGAGGTCAGGCGCCCCGTGGCCAGACCACTGTGCACACCCAGGCCACGTGGACACGGGACCTGGACGTCTCGGACACAAACCGCCATCCTGCGGGGCTCGGCTGGCCTCTCGGCGCTCAGGCTGCGAACTCTCTTGTTGGAAGGGCCCGACGGGGTGGGGCCACAGCTCAGCCCAGCCCGCATCTCCCTGCAGACCCCACGCATCAGGCCCTGGAGCAGGCCCCAGAGAGGACGGGCACCTGTCGCCAGGCCATTGCAGGAGGAAGGCGGGGGAGGGCAGTGCTGGTGGCCAGGTCAGCCCTGGCTCAGCCACGCAGAGCCAGGTGGTCAATGCACCTGCTGGCACCACAGGCGTCTAAGAACCTCCTCAACCTCAGACACCTCACAGCCCCACACCCCACCTCCTGCCCCTGGGGGGTCTAGGGCCCATAGTCTCAGGCTCCGGGTCTCCCTGAGTGCCCCTCATCCAGTCCCCTCCCCAGACGCAGCCCAGGGACCCCTGCACAGGCAGTGTCCCGCAGAGCCACTCAGAGGGAGCCAGGGCCTTGCCTGGGCACAGCCCCGTGGGTGCACCACTCTCAGGTTCTCTGCCCTTGGGTCAAGCTGGCCTGGTGAGGGCCCCCCACCGGGCGTGCTCTGCTCAGGTGGGAGTGGAGCTGGCGCCCCCTCCCAGGCCCCCTGCCCTGCAGCCCTAGAGCCCTGGGTTTACCTTCACGGCCACGAGCATCTTGTCCTTGGTGGGGCTGAGGTTGTAGCACTCGGCCAGGAAGACCTTGCCAAAGGCCCCCTCTCCCAGCTCCCGCTTCAGCACGATGTCCCTCCTCTTGATGTGCTGGACGTCTGCAGGGACACGGGGAGGGCAGTGGGTCAGTCCCGGGCCAGCCCGCACTGAGCTCAGGGCTCGGGGCCAGGTGAGCAAGGGTCGAGGGTGGGAGTCCTGGGGCCAGGCCCACACACACAGGGGAGGGCAGCCCGGTGTCCACACACAGGGGAGGGCAGCCCGGTGTCCACACAGGGGAGGGCAGCCCGGTGTCCACACACAGGGGAGGGCAGCCCGGTGTCCACACAGGGGGGGCAGCCCAGTGTCCACACACAGGGGAGGGCAGCCCGGTGTCCACACACAGGGGAGGGCGGCCCGGTGTCCACACACAGGGGAGGGCAGCCCGGTGTCCACACAGGGGAGGGCAGCCCGCTGTCCACACACAGGGGAGGGCGGCCCGCTGTCCGCACACAGGGGAGGGCGGCCCGGTGTACACACACAGGGGAGGGCAGCCCGGTGTCCACACACAGGGGAGGGCAGCCTGGTGTCCACACAGGGGAGGGCAGCCTGGTGTCCACACAGGGGAGGGCAGCCCGGTGTCCACACACAGGGGAGGGCAGCCTGGTGTCCACACAGGGGAGGGCAGCCCGGTGTCCACACACAGGGGAGGGCAGCCCGGTGTCCACACAGGGGAGGGCAGCCCGCTGTCCACACACAGGGGAGGGCGGCCCGCTGTCCACACACAGGGGAGGGCGGCCCGGTGTACACACACAGGGGAGGGCAGCCCGGTGTACACACACAGGGGAGGGCAGCCTGGTGTCCACACAGGGGAGGGCAGCCCGGTGTCCACACACAGGGGAGGGCAGCCCGGTGTCCACACAGGGGAGGGCAGCCTGGTGTCCACACAGGGGAGGGCAGCCCGCTGTCCACACACAGGGGAGGGCGGCCCGCTGTCCACACACAGGTGAGGGCGGCCCGGTGTCCACACAGGGGAGAGCGGCCCGGTGTCCACACACAGGGGAGGGCGGCCCGGTGTCCACACAGGGGAGGGCGGCCCGGTGTCCACACACAGGGGAGGGCAGCCCGGTGTCCACACACAGGGGAGGGCAGCCTGGTGTCCACACAGGGGAGGGCAGCCCGGTGTCCACACACAGGTGAGGGCGGCCCGGTGTCCACACAGGGGAGGGCAGCCCGGTGTCCACACACAGGGGAGGGCGGCCTGCTGTCCACACACAGGGGAGGGCGGCCCGGTGTCCACACACAGGGGAGGGCAGCCTGGTGTCCACACACAGGGGAGGACGGCCCGGTGTCCACACACAGGGGAGGGCAGCCCGGTGTCCACACACAGGGGAGGGCAGCCTGGTGTCCACACAGGGGAGGGCAGCCCGGTGTCCACACACACGGGAGGGCGGCCCGGTGTCCACACACACGGGAGGGCAGCCCGCTGTCCACACACAAGGGAGGGCAGCCCGGTGCCCACACACAGGGGAGGGCAGCCTGGTGCCCACACACAGGGGAGGGCAGCCCGGTGTCCACACACAGGGGAGGGCAGCCCGGTGTCCACACACAGGGGAGGGCAGCCTGGTGTCCACACACAGGGGAGGGCAGCCCGGTGTCCACACACAGGGGAGGGCAGCCTGGTGTCCACACAGGGGAGGGCAGCCTGGTGTCCACACACAGGGGAGGGCAGCCCGGTGTCCACACACAGGGGAGGGCAGCCTGGTGTCCACACAGGGGAGGGCAGCCTGGTGCCCACACACAGGGGAGGGCAGCTGGTGTCCACACAGGGGAGGGCAGACTGGTGCCCACACAGGGGAGGGCAGCCTGGTGCCCACACACAGGGGAGGGCAGCCTGGTGTCCACACACAGGGGAGGGCAGCCCGGTGCCCACACACAGGGGAGGGCAGCCCGGTGTCCACACACAGGGGAGGGCAGCCTGGTGTCCACACAGGGGAGGGCAGCCTGGTGTCCACACAGGGGAGGGCAGCCTGGTGTCCACACACACGGGGAGGGCAGCTGGTGTCCACACACGGGGAGGGCAGCCTGGTGTCCACACAGGGGAGGGCAGACTGGTGCCCACACAGGGGAGGGCAGCCCGGTGCCCACACACAGGGGAGGGCAGCCTGGTGTCCACACACAGGGGAGGGCAGCCCGGTGCCCACACACAGGGGAGGGCAGCCCGGTGTCCACACACAGGGGAGGGCAGCCTGGTGTCCACACAGGGGAGGGCAGCCTGGTGCCCACACACAGGGGAGGGCAGCCTGGTGTCCACACACACGGGGAGGGCAGCTGGTATCCACACACGGGGAGGGCAGCCTGGTGTCCACACAGGGGAGGGCAGCCTGGTGTCCACACAGGGGAGGGCAGCCCGGTGTCCACACAGGGAAGGGCAGCCTGGTGTCCACACAGGGGAGGGCAGCCTGGTGCCCACACAGGGGAAGGCAGCCCAGTGTCCACACACAGGGGAGGGCAGCCTGGTGTCCACACAGGGGAGGGCAGCCTGGTGTACACACGGGAGGGCAGCCTGGTGTCCACACATGGGGAGGGCAGCCTGGTGTCCACACACAGGGGAGGGCAGGCCCGGGCAGCCCCTCCTTGGCCTGGAAGCTGGCCTTGTCTGTGGGCTGAGCCTCTGACCTTGATGCAAACCCCAACCGCCCTGGCTCGCCTCCAGCCACTGCACACCAGTGTCCTCAGATGGAACACGGCTGCTGGCCATGCAGGCAGGTGGTCGCCACAGCTAAGTGCCCACCTGCGAGGCACAGGTCGGCCAGCTCCCAGCCCTGCCCCGCTCTCCCGCCAGTTCCTTGTTTGGGGACGGTCACTTTGAATGGAACTAACAAGATCTTCCTCAAGAAACTCTCATCCAAGTTAGGTGAGCCCGTCCCCACGAGGGGCACGGCCCAGGCCCGGGTCCTGCGGGAGGCGTCCACACCCAGGCTCTTCCTGTGACTTGGCAGCTGCCATGACCCCAGCAGGGGAGGCAGGGGGACCTCAGCTCTGCAACCCAGACCCGAGCTCTGAGAAAGGCCAGGGCCCCGGGGATGAGGGTGTGCGGAGCAGGGAGCCATGGCCTGTGGCCTCTGCCCTCTCAGCAGCAGGGCCGAGGCGGGCGAGAAGGCGCGGGGTGACCTGGGAGCTGCCAGACACCGCTCACTGCGCTTTCTGCCCATTGCTCCAGGGGCAGGAACCACTACACCCCTGCGTGAGCATCTGCAGCACCAGGAGAGGGGCTGTCCCAGGGGCCTGTGGGGGCACAGCAGAGCCTCCCACTGAGTGCACACAAGGCCAGGACTTCCTGGGAGGCCGCCTGCCTGCGTGGCGGTGGGCGATGGCCCAGAGTGCCTGCGAGGAGCGCCTGGCACCTGGCAGAGTGGAGGCAGGGCTGAGGGCAGCATGCAGGTGGGATCGGCCGAGGCCAGGAGCCGGGGCACCAGGGCAGCACCGGCGACTCCTCCCAGGCCTGTGCGCATCACACAGCGGCGCCATCTGCAGGGGGGAGGCCGCGCTCACGGCCCCCGTGTGGAGCCGTAAGTCGGGGAGTCCACGGCAGGGAAGCGAAGGCCACCAGGAGTCCCCGCCTGGGGGCTGAGCCGGCTGCTGGGGAAAGTGCCTCCTTGGCCCAAGCCCCAGCCTCCCTCTGTGTTTGCAACAGAGCCCTGGTGCTCCCAGGACGGCTCCTCCCCAGGCCAGCAGGGCCACGTCTGGCCTGGGACTCTGCATTTCTGAGCTTCCGGTTGAGGCTGATGCTCCTGGTCCATGAACCACAGTCTGGGACCTGCTGCAGCAGGTGGGGGAGGGGCACCCACCCAGCCTCTGTGAGTCCTGTGCCACCACATCTTGGTCCCAGGGGTCCCGAACATCTGTCCCGACCCCAAACCCAGCCTCCAGCTGTGTGGAGTCCCCTCTGAAAGCCTCAACTGCCCATCACGCCATGGGAGCCACCACGGACTCATCTGTCCACAGGCAAAGCAGCGCTGGAGCCCCGGGTCCAGGCGCTCGGCGGCAGGGGCCCCTCCTGCCTCTCAGAGCCCCCCCTCTCAGCTCCTGCAGAGACAAGAGGAGGATGGAGGGGCTTCCTTCATGGAGCCTGCGCTGTGGCCAGGATCCTCCCCGGGCAGCAGGAACCACGGGCCCTGCGAGCTGCAGAGAAGTGGGCAGCACGTGGGCGTCCCAGCTCAGGAAGGGCTGCGTCCTTTCACCGCCCGGCCTACACCCCCCCACACTTCACAGCCCCTCAGGGCCCTCTGCCCCCGCCCGGTAAGGGAAAGGGCAGGCACTGCCCGCAGAGCCCAGGTGGGGGAGTGGACAGTGGCAGAGCACGGGGGTGGGGACTGCTGGGCAGCTCGGCTCTGGCTCCATGTGTCCGGCTGGGTCCCGGCCGTGCGTATTTTTAGCTCACTTGGGGCTGCTGGGCACTGCATGCCCGAGTGATGGATCCCCTGGGAGGAGCGGGCATCCATCTCCTCTCACTGCCCGGCTGGCTGGCCCAGCAGAGTCGGGGTCACAGCCCAGATGTTGGGACATGGGGGTGGGGCGGGCGCGGCCTGGGCCGTGGGCAGCCCTCCCCACCTCTAGCAGGAAGGAGGATGCAGGCGCTGCTATGTGGTGGGGAGGGGCTTCGGGAAATGAGGAGGGCTCCTGGGACCCGTGGCCTGGCTCCCCTGGACTCCCACACGCAGAGCCACCTGCAGAAGGCTCCACTACCCTCCTGTCCCAACAAGAGACATGCACTTCAGTGCCTGCTCCAAGCACGCCTTTGTACCGGGGACCCAGGTGCCAGTCCCACATGTGGGTGTCACCTCTGGGAGGCCTCCCAGACCTGCAGCAAGGTCCCCAGAGGCCCCAGGCAGGCCGGGCGTGCTCTGGTCCTGCCTCTACGTACAGCAGGAGAGGGCTGCACAGGACACTGCCATGCACAGAGGTGGCCATGGTCGATGCCACAGCACCTCTCAAGCCTGGGGACCCAGGTGTGCACAGGTCTGAGCTGGAGTCAGGCCCCACCCCATTGACGGCAGCCCAGGCCTCCTGCACTTGCTCGACAGCCGGGCACATGGGCGCAGGGGCACAGAAACACAAG